ATTTAACCGGGGTTTTCGCTAGCCTGCAGGATCCCAACAGTTTGTCTCTCCGCTCATCTCCGTTTCAGAGAAATGGTTGAGGGCGGCTTTTGATTCTGCTGATTCAGGTGTTTTAGCGTCTCCTGGACCTCAGCCGCAGTCCCGCAGACCTGTGCCTGGGAGCAAGGCACGGGCAGCGCTGCCCCGGCTGTGCTTGCGCGCTGGGGGTGCTGGCTGTGCGGAGCTGTTGGGAGGTGGGTGCAAGGGTGAGCCCTGGGGCGGCTCTCGGGGCAGTGGAGAAAATCACTGGCTTCTGGAGATGCACAGGCATCAATGGACTGTCATGTATGACGCATATCCCCAGACCGGGCTAACCCAGTGCTCCTAAAATGGGATTTTTAAAAAAATTAATGAGTTCTTCGATATAGTTAATTGAAACATGCTTTCTGGCAGCTGCCTACCTGTCTGCCTACCTGTCTGCCTACCTGTCTGCCTACCTGTCTGGCACTGAATATGGTTCTTTCTTTCCACTGTCTACTAATGCCTAGAAAAAGCAATAATGACTTTCAAATAGTTACTAAATGCCAATCTGATGTCTGTTGTTTTTTTTTCTTTTTCAGGTTGATTTTTATTTTAATACAAACCAGTGAAGATGACTCCAAAACATGAAAAACAAGTAAGTCATGTCTAAGCTTTAATAAAAAAGGATTCTACTCTGGTGGTTGTGGATTGAATTTCATTAAGATTCACCTGGGCCAGGAAGGATTGGTTGTATTCTTCATGCTTTAAGTGCCAGGCTACAGAATGTTCTGGACTGATGCAGTGCCAGTTCCTTCTGTTAAAGATTGTTGGAAGAATCAAATAGTCACTGGATCACGGAGAAGATTAAATGACTCTGCATAAGGGGCTCAGACACTGATATAGGAGAGAGGGAGCTGGATTTCCATCTTCTCTCCACCACACATCAGGAGTTTTGTAGGACGTAATGGTTGGAGCTGGGCCTGAACAGGTAGATGCGTGGACCACAGGAATCAGACTTGCACATTCTCTTTTGCTCCATCCTAATGAATGTTAGAAGTTTCAACAAATGATTTGCCTCGACTGTTAGACTCTTATCAGCCTTAATACTCAGCATGCGTAGAGTGAAGATGCCAATGCTCCTGGCGTGAAAAGCCTCATGTCCTTCGCGGTTGATCCTTTTACTAATAGGCGACCTGATGGGAAACTTTTTTTCTTGGAAGCTTTGTGGAAAATGACTCTTTGGGGGTTATTGACTAATCAGATGTGTAACAGTGGCACCACGGAGCATGAGGGTATCACCTGATATGGTCCTGAGCAGAGAGATTTGAATTAAAATGCAGCTGGAATGAATGAAGCAAGTAATTATCCAATGCAAGATTATTTTTGTTCCTCCTCCTTGTGGTAGATTTTTTTTTTGCGTATTAAAAATAGATGTTTCAGTGTCAGATCTCCTATTTTCCTAATAGGAAAATGTTAAAAACAGACTTACCAGAAGCACAGTTTTTGTGGTCAAAATTTTATGTAGTAGAGCTGCTGGCTTATCCTTGTCTCTGAGCAATCCACTGCATTGTGCAGAAATATTTCCAACAGGAGAAAAGAGGGGGAGGGAGGGAGGAAGGAAGACTCCTTGCGTTTGCTTCAGCTGCTTTTATGGTGTGTTCTTCCTATTGAGGCAAATCCAAACGGGAACGTTGCAGTTTTCAGTGCTTGTGTCTACACGACCTCAGTGCTGCCCTTTTCCTCTGCTGTCAGCACTCGTGCTCTTTGCACAGGACTGCACCCGTGAGGGAATAGGCATAAACCAGACTTGACGGTCGCTTTGGCCATTTTGTCATTTATGTGTGACCCTAACTGCTTGGACTGCTCTAGGCCTTGAGGACAGGGTAGCAAAATGTCACTGGCACAGAAATTGCAGCTATTTAACCAGGAATTAAAAGGCACATCCAGCCAGGGAAGTTCCTGCTTGTTAAGTAGCATGACTATTTTTTGTAGTACTTATGACTACTTTTGGGGCAGGTTTGAAGTTCTTCATGAGGATGTTTGGGCCAGCATGGCTACTGGGATCCATAGCAAAGCTACAGTCGTAGCAGTTTGGATAGGAAATGTTTTGCTTATGAATTTAGCAGTTTTCAGGGAGAAGGAATAAATGGTGATGCCACTTTCTCCAGCAGCTGGACTCTTGAGTCTAAAGCATTCCCAATGCAATAGGCCTCCACAACCAAGCTTGGACACTTTGAACTGTTAACATTAAGTTCTGGTTTTGAGGGAATTGTTGCACTTAGGCATTACAGGAAACATATTGTTCTTGAGTGTGTAATAGACATGTATGTCTTGTGCCCCTCAATTAAAAAACAAAAACCAAACCAAAAAAACCCACAATACAAGCGAGAAAGTGTATATAATGTGGCATAATAGCTAGAAATGCAATTCTGGAAAAAACAAGAACTGGGTGGGAGGGAAGATGACACCTTGAAAAGGATTACAGCTGATGAAAGTAAAAAGTCCCTGAAGCCGTGACCCTCTTTGGGCTCTGCTTCCCGGGTGATACGGCTGGGCCGCCGCGCGGTCTTGTGACAAAAGACGAAGTTAGTCTTCATGTGGGCTGTGGGAGGAGGGGGTCAGCCTCACCTCCCGTAGGTAAACAGTGCATTGCTTGAAGATTGGATACCCTCAACAGACATGTCTAATTTTTACAGCAAGATGGGACAAAGGAGAAAGGCAATTATTACCCAAAACTGCTGTAATCTGGTGACTGTTGGTGACCAGTGAATGCAGGATGGACTGAGCATACCACAGCAATCTCCCAGAGGGGTATTCTGCCACCTAACTCTGCTTGGACCCTAACATAGCCTATATGTGAACATTGGCCTTTACAAGCCTGCTTTTATAGGGACGGGGTAGCATAAGCACCTTTTCTGGCAGCGAATTTGCATCTATACGGACAGTCAGGGCTGCTTTGATTGAATCAATATTGTTGTCCCAGTGGGGTCTTGTATCCTGGAGAAGGCTTAAAGGTCAAAAGAGAAGGGATACTCTACGCGTGCTATGCCAGCGTTTCAGAGAGCAGAAGCTAATGGGAATTGGGATTAACGCTTCCTGGATTCAAGATGTTTATAGGGGAAGTAACCATAGATCTTGAGAAAGGCTGTACATTTTTGGTTTTGTCTTCTAGTTGCTTAATATTTATCTTGCTTCATTTTGAACTCAGCCTCTGTATTCTTTGGTAAATAAAAGAAGAAAAAACCAAACCAAAACCAACCAAACAAAAAACCCCCAAAACCAAAACAAAAAACCACCCAGTCTTCTGCCAAAATCCTGGTGTTTCAAATTGAAGCTGACACTGACTGGGTGAAGGCTGCAGTTTGCTGAGGTGCTCTACTGTGCCGCAGATCATTTTTAGTCTTGGCTCAGTGAGATACTGCCTAGACACCCGCCGGCCACAGCGTGTACAGCAGGTCTGCTTTCTTCTCTAGGCAGAGCCTGAAGGGTGCTTGACTTCCACAGTATATATCTATATATGTATCAGTTGAAACTCTGTGGTTATTTAACTGCAAATTAAAAGCGTACAGAGCATTCTGTGTAGATCATGTTGTCTGCAACGATTTGCAAGGTAACCTGTAGCTCACCCACCGCATATCGAGGAGTCACTTTTAATCATAATACTTTGGTATAATAGAGGTTGAAAGAAGCGTTTTACTTCAAAGGTTATTTTGATTCTGTACAAAGGAGAGGCTTATAGAAGGTTACTTGGAAATGAAGTAATTTGGGGAACCTGGACAAAAGGGAGGGCAGTGGGAAGGCAGTGGATGAGAGGAGGGGGACCGAGGCTAGGTTATGAGCAGGCTGCCTGCAGTTGTGACTTCTGGACTGCCGCAGTTGAAGGGAAGAGGAGAGCAGTGTCCCATTTGAAGCTTCCTGGTGGAATTCCTCTTCTTCTACTTGCAGGACCGATGCATTCAGTGCTCAGGAGAGGAAAGACAGTGTGTTTAGAAGTGGTTGCAGCTCTGGGGAAGAGTCGGACACGGGGAAATAGGAGGCTGGGAAAGACAAAAAACTTGGGAGAACGTAAGACCATGGATATGAAAAGATGTTACTAGTGGGTCCAAAAGTATGCTATGTCTATATATGTATGCTAAATATGATAGACAGTGAGGCAGGTGGGAAAAAAAGATCAAAAAATGGTTTCCTCTCCTTTGTTCAGCACATTGCTGAGGAGGGGGAATAACTTCCTCATGTCTCCCGCTAGTGTTTTCGTAAAAGCAAAGGCATGATCCTCAGCTGCTAGAAGTGATTACAACTCTGTTCATTTGTTCCTCTTGTGCCGCGTTGACGTGGGGTTAAAAAGCTGCAGAGGAGAATTGGGCCTTCGGCGCTCTTCGGTGAGGAAAGAAGCGTCGGAGTTGGTGGAAGCCTTTCAAACGGGCTTTCTTTGGCAAGGTGCTCGTGACATGCTCCAAAAGGATATCCAGCAGTCATGTAGAAAAACACCCCTGTGACTAGGAGCTTGGCTGTGAGAGAAAGCCGTGGGCTGTATCCAGCCATCGGGCCACTGATTTACTGGAAATCAGTAAATTATTTATTCCCACCATGAGTGCTTCCCTGCCATGTACAGAGTGCAATGACTGTTCAGGAAAAAAAAAAACCAACTTTTTCCATCCAAGGCTGTCCTTGTACTCCTGTCAGTCTGTTGAAGGTTGCTGCTGGTGGCATGCTGAAGTGTGTGTGGTGGGGTGAGAAGACTTGGCTGAAAAGTAAAGGTTTTGTTTCTGACATCTGTGGTTTGGGCACAGAGACACATTTTGAGAGCTTTCTAGTTCAAGATTTCTTGATTTATGCAAAGTCACACTAAAAAAGCATGTTATTTACCAGAGACACTGTCATGTCGATTACTGTACCTGGACATCTGTGTTGCCTTCCTCTCAGGAAGATATAGCTACAGCTTAAAATTAGATGGTTTTCTTTAACTGCATCATTGTTTAAGTGGTTGGCTTAGCTCTTTGGGTGAATAGCTCATTTAAGCAACTGAAGTAGGGCAGCCTATTCTCTTACTTGGGAAATAGCAGGTCATGAGGCACGTTTTCAACCTTTGTGTTTCAAAGAAACCTTTTCCATTGCAGTATGAACATACAGATTTACCAGGTTTTTTGGTTTTCTTTTTTTAAGCACGGTACAAGTTTGCACATGGTCATTAGCTAAGGGTACTTGGAAGCATGTAACTCTTCAACCTCTTCCAATTCCTGTTAGTGCTACCCAGTTAGGTGACAGTGATGCCCACACGCGCCTCTCACTCCTTCGGGACCCCTCTAAACTATTGTACAAATGTAGGAATTAAAAAGAAATACACTATATGTGACAAATACTCTATATCGTTGCCCCCCCCCCCCCCTTTTTGGGGGGGGGCGGGGGTGGAATTATGCTCTGCAGGGTGGCTGTGTTGCTTCCTCGGGTGGGTTGATGGGCAGACTGGGATAGCAGTGCCCAGGTCCTGCATCCTCAGGTGTGCTTCATGGCTTCAGCTCCTGGTGTATCAAGAAGCATCTGTGGCAGAGGAGGATTCATCTCCTTCCACACAGCATCTGGGACGCTGGGCTTGAGACCTTGAATTCCCTGTGTTGAATCTGTGTCTGGGGCAATTTATAGTGGTACATCCTTTTGCACTGTGCTGGAGCGAGTTACTCGGGGCATAGAAAAAAGGCAGTTTTTCATTTCCGTGAGGAGGTACCGAGCACTTACCTCAGATCCCTGAAATCAATGGGTATAAATACAAAAAAAGTATAGGTACAATGACAAAGAAATTTAAGAGCAAATAAAATGCTATAGGTATGTATTGGGTACATGGAGCAGGTTTGTAATACATTCTTTGTGAATATTAACTATAGAGGGGTGGGAAAAGCCTAAAATACCAAGCTAGTTCTCTCTTACATGTGTGACTTCGAATGTTAGGTTTTTAGTTTGTAGCTGCTGAAATCACCAAATCTCCCATGCATGAAACATGTATTTCACAGTATTACTTAAATCTTAAATACTCCTTTTCAGCTAGCAGTTTGGCAAGGAATTTCCCGAACATGTGGTGCAGCTCAGATGATTCATTGCTTTTTGCTTCTCCTTTTATAGGGTTGCAAAATGCAGTAAAACAGCAGTTCAGCTTTTAATCTGAGCACAGTAGTTTGTGGAACAGCAGAGCAATCAAGAGAGTCTTTCAGGCTCCTTTTGTCTTCTGAAATTAATTGCTTGATTTTTATTATGCATTTGCAGGAATTTGTAACTGTCTTGGTGCGAGACCCCAGGACACAAAAAGAAGACTCATGGCATTCTTACATAGACTATGAGATATTTATTCACGTAAGTATAAAAAAACATCAAGGGAGATTCTTTGGGCTTTTATTGCCATTTCTGTCCAAGCCAGGATTCTCTTTGGGGTATTAATGGAATTTCTTTACATCACTTCTGGGAAGCTGGAGGATACTATTTTCCTTTTAATGACTGAGATGCAGTGGAACAGGTAAGATGGGTTGGCCAAAGGCTGTGCAGAAGGTCTGTGGCAGAGCTGGGAGGTGAACCTGGTATTCTCTGGTATTCTTTTTCACATGTGCACTCCACAGTGTCTTGCCACAGAGACTATTCTTAGCTTATCAACTAGAAGATTGTCATAGTGGTGTCTTACCATTATAGAAGAAGTTTGGTGTTCAGGTACTCATGGGAAAACAATTTTTCTTTTCAAGTAATTATCTGGTTATTTGTACATTAAATTCTCCTGAGTTCTTCTTTTTACCAGGTTATTTGGTTGCTGCAGTGTGGTTGTTTTCAATGTACCTTGACGTTCATATTATGCTAGTTTAGTGGTGCTTGGATGTGTCAAGTAACTACATTTGGGTTTGTGATTGTAGTCTATCATATGTTAATGGGAGTGCACTTAGAATTTTGGTTCTCTTCTGTCTGAAATCAGCCTTATATGTAATTTTATTTTGTTGATTATTCTTCTTGGTGACATACTGAAGGAAATATTCTAATTTCCCAAATCTAGATCCAGGGATTTTAATTGCAATGTAAAAAAAAAAAAAAAAAAAAAAGAAAGAAAGAAAAAAAGAAAATTTGTGAAGTGATTCGAGTATCAAGTGAAGAACTCAAGACCACGTGGTTAACACTTGGCACAAGACAGAAAGCATTTCCTTCCTGTGTGGGAAAGTTAAGCATTCAGCCTCGTAAGAGTAAGCAGTCAAATGATGGCTTATTAAATGTCCATGGTGACAAGTACTTCTCTCCAGTGTGGCAATCCGCGCTGTGAAATGTTTACATTTTGCAGCGTGGTTTAAGTACTGGTTCCAAAGCAACTATATTTGACTTCTGGTAAACAGAAATTCTGTAGATGTGGTGGGGTGGGTGCTGTATTACTGTTTCAGGGGCATCGGTGCTTCTGAATAGGCATATATTACTGGCTTTCTCAGCGACTGCTAAGCTGGGGTGATGTCATTTAGACCCAGAGTTATGTGATTCAGCACTGGGCATCTCTGAAGATGATCAGCATCAGCTCCGCTTCCCACCAGGGCTTTCAGAGGCAGAGTCTGTAGATCAGTCCTACCATCCAGGCTTCTCAATGGATTCAAAAATCTTGGGTCTGCCAGGCTCTTAGACCAGCTGGGTTCCCCTTCTGTCCAGCTCCTAGAGCATTTGGCCTCTTAAACCGTGAGGTATCCTGGATACTCATCCAGAAAGCTGGCATCTTGGTGCCTTCTACAGTCTGCATCATGTGGTTGTCTAGGAGTTGTGGCTCCTGGCAAGTGATTGAGGGTGGGTTGGACTGCAGGCGGATTTGTAATGGAGTACTGTCTGGCAGGTGGGGTTTCATCTAAACATCTATGCTCCACAGGAAAATTTGGCAAAAGCATTTAATTTCTGTGAATTGTTTCTCTTTTGATGAATTGGTGTTTTTCTTGTAGACTAATAGTGGTCTGTGGGAAAATTTCCAAATGCTGGTACTTGTGGAGAGCAGTCACATTGGTTTCTTTGATTTGATCTAAGTAGGATTGCACACTGGAAGAACTCTATGTAGCTTACTGTTAGCAGGATTATAACTAGAATAGCTAAACATGATTGCTCCCCCCGCCTCCCTGCAAAGATTGCCATTATCTGCTGAAATTTTTTTCTGAGATCTTTTTTCCTGTTACTGCAAGTTTTACCATAATCGAGATCTCTTGCTTTTAAAAAGAAAGAAAGCTATGAAAAATGGTTTCCTGAGAAGCAGTAGAAACTGTCACCAGTCCTGTCTGAGATAAAGCACAGTCCTTAACTTAAACTGAATTATTGTCAAGCTTTCCATTGGTGTCTCAGGGATTAGCATCTTGGATGTGTTTTTAATACCATGCCTGTACTTTAACCTAAGCTGATTTACAAAGTAAAATGTTTTTTATTTCCCAACAGACAAACAGCATGTGCTTTACAAGGAAAACGTCTTGTGTTAGACGACGCTTTCGAGAATTTGTTTGGCTTCGGCAGAGGCTTCAGAGCAATGCAGTGCTTATGTGAGCAACTTTATGGCTATTTAATAATCTGTCAATCATGGAAGGAGAGGATTGTTTCATCTTAATTCTGAGAACTACAGAAGTCAGAGCTGGAAAGCGTCCTGTGTTTTAGTAGCACAAATTTATTCTGTACAAGGCATTTTCTCTGCTTTAAACCCAGAAGAATGTGGTTTGTACTGATAGCCTTTGTGTGGTGAGCCCACCTGTAATTTGTAACAAATTTGATCTGCGTTTCCTTTTGCTATGCATAGGTCGCAGAAATAGCAATCTAGCGTAGGTGTACGTACCTCCCTCCTCTCTGTGTCTTTAGGATGTGCTTAGATTCTGCAAGGACCATCACAGACCCAGCCAGACATGGCACGCAGGCTTAACAACTAGACCAGAAAAATCAGATTAATTTATTTTTCCCTTTGAGGTATGTGAGAAGCCCTCCAGTTTCCCGAGCTTGTGTTCCCAAGTTTGATTTCATGAGCTTCTGGAACGTGGCCCGTGATTTTCACATGCTCGGGGTTGGCATTTGCTTATTGCATTTTTCTCCACTGTTTCAGATTCGGTTTTAACTGTGTGTTTTGCTTCTTGTTTATAAAGACAGCTACCTGAACTGCCATCTAAAACTCCCTTTTTCAATATGAACAATCCTCATCACGTGGACCATCGCCGGCAGGGTCTGCAAGAATTCCTGGAAAAGTACGTACAGCCTATCCTTAGAGATGGTGGCATTTTTATGATGTCCAATTTTCTGGTTTAAAATAGCTCATCTCTGGTGCTTGAGAGCCACCGTGTGGTCATCTGTACATGTTACACATTTGGGTTTATTTTTTATTTGCAGAGTCATATTTTGTACATGTGACTTCAGCTCTGTTGGTTATAATGAAACTTCACCTGGGGCTTTTCCATTGTGTTTCATTGCATTGCTTATAAATAATAGTTCTGGGTTTATGTCACTGTGCAATTGTGTACTAAGGTTGGGAGATCATGATGTCTATTTCTAGCTTTCAAGAACGAGCCAGATATTCTCATACAAAAAAGCAGACTTCTCTCCCTCTTATGTTCATGGGAAATCAGTGTCTTTGTGGGCTAAACCCCCCGGGAGCCTGGGAAAATTCTGCAGCGAGATCTAACACAGATATTTCCTATAATGCCAATTACTTTGTTTACCAGTCCCACTAACATAAACAAGCTCTAGCAGCTGTGACCATTTTCAGTACGCTGCAATCTGTATAAAATCATTCATCAGGCTTAGCTAGAGTCTGACCTGCGTTACAAGGGAGTACTGTACGAGCTTCAGTACCGCATCCCTCAGTCCTGCTGCTGTAACCATGTCACCTTCTGCAGCGGCAGAGACCCCGTTGGTGTAATTCTCCGTTTTCTCTGCCGTTCTCGTAGTACCCTGGCACTGCTGGTGTGAGAGCAGGCTGCTCGCAGCTGCTGGGGCAGGAATTGTCCGTGCGTTTGCAGGCTCTCTTTAGCCACTGCCTGGGGTAAGAGCGTGGTGAAACACTGTGAGTAGAGGCTATTCATCTTCTTTCAGTATCAATGTTTCCATGAATCAGAACTGCATAAGCAAAGGGAAAAAAAGCAAATCACTTAAGTAGGCTTTAAGCCTTGGGGTCAGTGGGTAGCGGAATATTAGACCCACTGTTTTTCCAGTCAGTGTATTACAATCAAAAGCCTCCCTAACAGACAGCAAATCATTGGTCCTGAGATATATTTGTTAGGCTTAAGAGATGAAGGCAGGGAGAGCTCAATACCGCAGGAATCATATTCTGCGTACAGTTATATAGGATCTGTGGCCGAAAGGATTGCCAGTAAATACTGGTTGAAGGCATGTGAGAGGGGGAAAGCAGAAAAGGATCAGGTTTTTTTTCTGCACCCCAGGAAAGACAGACAGGGAAACGGTGTGACATCACTTCTAGAGGCAATAATACTAATGGTCAGCTGAAGGGATGGTAGTTCAGGTCCCTGGGTCTGAGCAGTTCTAGCTTAGCTGTGCTGTCCCGTGGAGTGAGTGGTGCGTTTCCAGAATCACTCTCATTTTAAAATGGGAAAGAGGCCGATCTAACAACAAGGTAAAGCGTTTCAGCATCAAAAATATTTACAACACTGTCTGTGCTACAGAAGGCAAAACAGAGAGGTGTAGACTCTCTTAAAACACATCCTCGCTCTCCAATTTTGTGGCTATCTGTAACTTAAATGGGTACTGACGGCAGAAAACGACATCATGTGGAGCGTTTTACCTTGCTGTTGTTAGTCCAGGAGTGGGAAAAGAGGCATCTCTGTAAAGTAATAGTTTAAACGTTCGAACTTGGATGCTGTTTAGAAAGGTGTCAGCTTGCTTTCAGCCCAGGGGCATAGTTGGACGGGATTTTCAGAGGTGGGAGTTGTGCTGTGATGAATTGGCTTGGCACCTTACGTGCTCTACCATTGCCCTCTGCTGGCTGGCACCTCTGTGCGGCTGCTGCTCTTTACAGAAGGGATCTTTTTACTGGCTCAGCTAGGCTGCCGTGGTGTGTTTTTTCTCCTTTTTTTGATGAGTCTGAACCAAAGGTTATAATTTCCTTCTCTGAAATTGAATTTGTGGGACTCATTAACAAGCGCGTGTGTGTGTGTATATATATATGCACACACTTGATTTTACTGAAGCTCTAGGTCTGGATGCTGCATGTTCTGGAGCGTGGCAATGCCAGGGGAAGCAGGACTTCCCTGGTATATTAGAATGGGGGTGGGAAAGGAGGCACGAAGAGTTGCATGGGGTGGTGTGACCCAGAACTGCACAGCCGAGTGCTCCGTTCGCCCCAGCAGTGATGGCAGTCGCCCTGCACAAGCGCAAAGCCCCGCTGGTGTTTCTCTGTGGCAGTGGGAAGAAACAGGACTTGAGGCTACGCGACCCTGTCAAGGGAGAGGTTCGCAGGGAACGTTTTCAAATGCCCGCATGCGATGCAGGAACCCGAGCCCCTCTGTGCACTGGGTGCCTTGTGAGGTTATGGGGATCCAAGCTATCTCTGAAATGGAGTTTAGCTCTTTCACGGTCTCCGTTTGTGCCCTGTGCTCGCTGCTGTGTGAGCAGGTTGCTGTGGTGTCTGCCAGGGCAGGAGCCACGTGCCTGAGGGGTAAGGGCCGAGGGCTGGGGGCAATCGGGTGTTCAGCTCCCGGCCCTGGGAGCTCCGTACTACCGGTACGCGGATGGCAACGGAGTTCTCTTGTCCTCCTTCACGCGTCGCTCCAGAATGAGTTAGCACGGGGCAAGGTGCTTCCTTAGAGCCTTTGTGAAGCCTTTCCATGCGGACCGCAGTCGTGTGAGAATTCGGCTGACAGTTGGAAGCTAAAGCAAAGCACAAGAGTTTGGGGAAGATCTGGAAATGGGAGTCCCATTTTGATTTGGCTTTACTGCGCGAATGCAGGGTAAGACCTGCTTGTGTTACAGGTTATTATCTCTGAGTGATGAAGAGCTGTAAAGCTCACTTCTTGTCTGGGCATAATTTAATATTTCAAGAGACCATTTGCATTAACGGAAGTCAGCTAGCCCCTTTTCAATTATGGATTACATCATAAGAATAAGGAAAATTATGTGCTTTTCCTGGTAGGTATCCTCAGACCTCTGAGGATGTCTGTAAATTCACAGGAGAAGGTTATTCTTAAATTGGAGGCCCAAATTAAAACACTATCTTATAATACTAGGTTCTGTACGATCTTCTCTGCTTTCATCCCTTTTTAGCTGCACAGGTTTAACTTCAGGATTTAGATTAGCTTCATAGAAAATCATCCATGCTTGCTTATTAGAAAGCTAATTAACAAACCTGCTTCAAATGAAGTTGAGTTCAATCGCTGACACTTTTTTTATCGAATACAGTTGGATCCCCCAAAATTATGTAGTTTAGGAAACAGGATTAGTCTTCACTTAGTTTTCAGTCATGCAGTTTATGACGGGGTGGAAGACGCAGTAGGAGTTTTGAGAAGTGCGGCGCTTGGATCCATAGGAGGCAAAGGGCACCCACAGCGTCGCTGCTCCGGCTGGCTGTGCCTCGGGCTCCCTGGGTGCCAAGCAAGGCACCCAAAACTCAGCTGCCTAAGGCAGAGCCGTTCTCTGGGGGTGTCTGGCGTTTGGCCCTCCTCCTCACACCTCCTTACCTTCCCCACCGCGGTTCCAGAAGCAGGAGCCGGGGCAGGGTGGGAGGACTCCCTCCTGGAGGTGTCTCCACGGGCGGCTCGCTCAGGGGTGTGGGAAGCAGGAGACGGGCTCCAAAGGGGACGGACGCCATCTTGCCGGGGCTGGGGCAGGAGCGTCGGCGGCCGAGGGGCAGGTGGGATCTCCTCGGGCGAGTGGTGGCTGTCTCCTTCTGATGGAGCCTCGCTGGTATTTCCTATCTGGTGAGTGCATGACGCCCGGCAGGCGCGTGTCGCTTAATCCTGTCTTAAACGTGTGCCTTAGCAGATGCCCGACAGTCGCTTCACAGTTGCTCGCTCTCAGCACCGCTTGGCCCCTTATAAAAAACGAAGGAGGAAACAAAGTCGGGTGTTTTTTAAGGGGAAACTGGGGCTTCGTTGGCTGTGGGCTGGGTGCTCAATGGAGGGCACCGCAGCACAGGCCGTCACCCCCTGCCTCTGGGCTCCTGGGGGTTGGTTTTTCTTCTTCCCCTTCCTCCCGTGACATGATGTCAACGGGCAGAGTAGATTTGTCAAAAACAAAATCGGAGCGTTAACCTTCCCCACGCATGCAAGCGTGCATCTGTCATTGTATTAGGTTACAGTAGATACAGGAAATCTTTAGTTAGGATTAAGTTGTACTGTTCAGCCATATGTTGTTCTCCTCCAGCAGAACAGTGTATAATATACCTAATAAAATCACGTTGAAGAAAACCAGATTTTGGACCTTGTCCAAATAAGACAAAACACATGTTTTGTCTTTCGTACATGTTCTTGCTGTAACACGGGGAAGGAGAAATACCCCTCGTATACGATCTAGCATTTCCTTCAAAAATGACATTATTTCGTTGTGTTGTACAGCGAGGGGTTTCGGCCCTGCTTCTTTAAAGGTCTAGAGATCACGAGCATTTACTGAAAGCTTACAAGCAAAGATTCACATGGCCGTGAATAAAAAATGATTTTATTAGCTCTAATTCAAATGTAGAGCCTTATCCTGCAGCCCCCTTAATCACATAAGTAGTCATTATGCATCTGAGCAATCTGGCCGAGAGGAGTGAGATCTCCGAGAGGTAATGACTACTGATGGGATCAAGGCTTGCAGGATTTAGCCTTTCGTTCTTATTCTAGGCGTGCGTAGAAGGTCTGTTGTTCTCTTAAGCATGCCCAGTCAGTTTATAGGAATTGTCACCCTAAGACATGACTCTTCCATTATCGACGGCAGCGAGAACTGATTTACATCGCTGTAACCACAGCTTCGCACTGACACAGGCTGTAATAAAACTGTTTGAGAAGCTCCGGGAGCGCTACTGGTTGTGTTCAAACTGCGCACGCGTTCAGCCTCTGCTTAGACATCTGAGTATTAATATTATAACACGCCGCCTTTCCTCTTGACTTTTTAATTTGTTGAGATGTATTTCGTATTTTTGGTTTTTTTTTTTTTTTTTTTTTTTAAAGTCTTTGGAGCTGAATCTGGGTTGGTTTTTTTAGATGTACAACCCCAGGACAGCGAAAGCACTGGAGAGCAACTGCAATACCTGCACTTAATACTACTAGTAACATCTGGTGACAAATGTATAGTTCTTTCCTTGAAGGAGGAGCATTTTGAACAGGAAAGCATAACACTTACGGATAGCACAGAATTTACTTTTCATTTTGATTGCTTGAAGGATGCAATTAAAAAGCAATCTAACCTGTTGGTTCAGATGGGGGGGTGGAGCAGAAGTTATTTTTTAATTCAAAGAAAGAAGAAATGCTTCAAGGGTATGACTGGGTGAAAGGTGTTCATATATTTGCTTTTAGGATGGTTTTAAATGGTTTGCAGAATGCATTCAGTGTTTGGTCCCTTCCCCACTTGTGAACATATATATGTGTGTGTGTGATTGGTTTTATGAACATCTTTCTATTTCTTCGCCTTGGTTTCCCTTCACTCCTTTCCCCTCCAGATGGCACTATGAAGCAGAAGAGAAAATTACTGTGAAATAATGAGTCCAATGTAAAGTAAAATTGGAAATTGAATTATAGCTGCAGAAAAAGGACAGTAGCCTTGAGGTCCTGATCAGTCTGTACTCTTATCAGTTTTGTTTGCTGTTCCATGTGTTAGGTTACTGCCGAGTTAATAACAGTGCTTTAGCAGTTCAAGGCTTAGCAGAATTGTACTGGACGTGAAATAAAGCTAAAATGAATTTGTGTCCAATATCATTGACATTAGTGCTCATTATTTCTCTGGTGTAATGCCTCAAACCATCTAAAATCAATTTTAAAGATTACCCATTATTTTATAAAGAAAATAAAATACGTTTCAAACAGCAACAGAGCTGTAAGTGTAGTGTAATCTCATGAACAGTTAGTTACTTGTGTTTTTGCTGGTTGGCAGGAAACTTTTGAAGGTATGGCAAGAGGAGAATCCGTGAAACTAAATGCCATCACAGAATTTAATGTCTTGGCTTTTTGCTGGGTTACTTGGTATTAGACACGCAAATGTTAGAATTGCAGAAATGCGCATCCCCTCGTTGTGCTCGTAAGCCTGGGAGAAACAGTGACTCTAGTCACTCTACAGCAAACTCCAGCATGTTATTCTTTTTTTTTTTTTTTTTTAAAAGAGGAAGGAGGGTATTTACTGCCCCGTTTGCATAAACTATAAATGTGGGTTTATTGTGTGGAATGATACTTTTTCTTTTACTTTTTGTTGCAAAGTTTCTCTTTGTTTGGAATGTATGTTTATCAAGAGTCAAGGCTGAAACCTTCTTTTAGTGGCCGCTGAATGATGGCTTTTCAAACTGTATTCATGAAGCTGTTGCTGTCAAGGTGTGTAGACCTGTAAATTCAAGACCTGTGTTTTGAATCATTTTTTACGCAGCATTTGCTGGCTTCTTTTAGACTACAAAGAAGTTTTTCTCTATAGTAGTACACTGTGTGCATTGATTTTACAGATGTCTATTTGCTATGTTTATTTTTAAGTAAAATTGCGAGAGTTTAGATGGGATTAAAAAGGCGCTCTCTAGGTATGAAAGCGTGCTTATTTTGAACTTCAGGGAAACCTGGTCCTTCTGAAACTGAATTTCAAACGCACCTGGTAGATCATTAGGGTCATTGCAGACATTTCCTCATTGGAAGGTGTCAAAGTTTGAGTTATTCGGTTGAGACTGTGTGTGTGTGTTTACCTAGGCAAATGAAATGTGCATGTACACAAATATCCCACATTTTCAGTTAGATCTCTCTTATTACTGATTTTGATTTGACAGATTTTTATAGAAGAAGCCAGAAATCCTTTAGTGTATTTATTAAACGTCATTGTAATGTTGGCCACTTTAGGGAACAGTTTTCAGAACTTATTTGTGTTTCAAAACATTGCAGTCCAAACACACCATTAATCTTATTTGAGAGAAGGAAATAATCAGTTATACTTTTCATTTTAGTCAGAGTACCTATAGAATGCAATATTTTTTTTTCTGCTCTTACTAGTTCTTACATTAACATCATCTCTTGTTTCCTGTTGCACAGCAAAGGTTTTTTTTTTTTTTGTCACAACAGTAACCTAAATGGGTAGAAATAGGTAAATATTGACTCTTAGTAGTTTTGACTTGTCTAAAGATATTTTAATAATTTTCTGCGGAGCACTGTTTGGCATGGTCATAGGCTCTGACTTTATTATATGAGTAAAATTATGTGTACATATAAAAAAAGAGTCTCATAATAGGATTTGTGTATTAAAGAATTCCTTCTTTAGAGAAATGTTGCAGCAAAGTTGCTTTTTTCTCCCCCCCGCCACCCCGAGTGATGATGATGATCCTCAGTTCTCAGTCCTTGTAAAAGTAGCTCTACAACTTTCTATGTTACTGGAATGTTTTATATTTTGTTTCCTATCTCTTGATGTAAGTAAATACTCTGTGCTACATTTATTTGAAGACTTAAAAGACATATAAACCAAAGATTAAAATGGACTTTTGAAAAGAATAGCTGGAATTAAATAGTATTTAAGATTCCCTGAAAACTGTTTGCAAGTAAATTTAAATCAGTGTTCGGTATTAGCATTTTCATTCTAGCTGAAATGTATTCATAGCTGTAAAAGTGTAAATGATTTTTGGCTGGTGTTGGCTCCGTTGTTCACAGCTATTTCAAAGTCCTGACACTGTATGTGTATGAGGTCCTCTGTACACACTTCTTTCCCCTCCGAAGCAATGGCTGACTTGTAATTTTTAGAAAAACTTAGCTATTAAAAAATTTAAAAAAAAAATTCTTAAATGGAGACCAAATTTTCGTAAGAGTATATGCCTCCAACTGCCTAAAAATCATTAATTGATCCATGTGGTAATAACAGATGGTTAAATGGAAAAAATGTCCTTGAAGTTATTCTAATAGCAGATGTGCCTAACTATTAGCTTCGTGTTTTTACTCACCTAAAATCCCAAATAATGTAATAAGAAAGTAACACACACCTAATCATTTTAATATGTTCATTACCTTCTGTTACTGATTTAGGATTCATCTGAAAACTTAAAAGCAGGACATGGCTTAGAATTTGTTCTGGTAAAACACTTTAGAATATACGAGTGTATGTGCATCTATATAAAAAGATTTGACTTTTTTTTTTTTTCTTTTTCCAGGATCCTACAAGATGCATTATTGCTTTCAGACAGTAGGCTTCACCTCTTCTTACAGACTCAGCTGAGCCCAGAAGATATGGAGGCTTGTGTATCTGGACAGACCAAATACTCTGTTGCTGATGCGATTCATAAGTTCGCCTCTTTGAACAGGCGTTTTCCTATAGAACACGAAGAGAGAAAAAAAGGAAAAAACGATGCAGACTCCGACTCAGAGAGGTGATTTCTGTATTTCCTTACTTTCTGAGATAATATACACATACACACACATGCGCATGCTTCACTTTTTTTGTTGATGTAATACTAAGATAATGAAAAAATTAATTGACTGAGATTTTATTGAGCTGTGACAGCTCATCATAGAAGTCTTCACACACACCTCCACACTGAATTAATGAATGCAGTAGAAATTCAATTATCTGCATTCTGATTATGTGAATTTCATTTAGTCAGACTTGAATTATTCGCGTTTAAATTATCTTGCTAAAAAAATATCCAACTGCACTCCAAATGGCTAATTAAAAGTCCAAATTTCCTGTCTCTCTTTGTGACTGGAGATAATTAAAGTTCTCCTCTGTTACTCAGGCTTTGAGTGTGTTGTGAAAACCAATTTCCTCCTTTTATATTTTTTTTTTTTTTCCTCCCCCCTGCCTCTCCCCTTTCCTGCAGTTCATCCTCCGGGCTCAGACCTAGTGATGACAGCATTTCATGTGGACGTAAAGCAAGCCCAGCTTCTGAAGAATCATGAAAAATCATCCCTGTATTGCTATCTTAAGGACAGTACAAAGCAGTTTCTGCTCTGTTTACTGGTTACGCATACCACGTAAACGCGTCTGGCTGGTAACGCGTACCTAAAAGACGCGTCATCAATACAACCATATATCCGTACAAAATTTTCAAAACAGACCTTGATACTATTTCTTTGTTGATTTTATTATGTACGTTGATTCAGGTCTACATACTACCTATTACATTTAGGTTTTTGTGACTATTAAAATCTCAGTATTGGGTAAGTCATGCTCTGCTAACATAAGTGGTATTTAAAATATCTTCCCTTAGTGAGTGCGTGTCTCGGATCTGAAAAATTAAGACAACTTAATTCCTCAGCTTAAAAGTCGCTACATCATAGCAAATATATTCAAAGCATCTTTTTGTAATTTGCATCAGAGAAGTTTCATCTTCAGAAGTCATTTGACATCGGTGATGAAATTACATACCCCACAAGGTATTCAGTTTTTAAAGTAGCTCAGCAACATCAGCAAAACAACATTTGTACAAACTATATGCTGCTGACAATTCGAGATATAAATATATCTTCCTCTGGTCTTTCTGTAGTGCTTATGGAAAGCTTGGTTTTATCATGCATAAGAACTGAAGGCCAAAATTCTTGAGCATCGTTGCTTAGAAGTTAGAAATATTAATAAAAATGACATCATTTCTAGGCTTGCTGGAGATTCTCAGTTCCCAGGGAGTTACGGATACTCGTTCCCAGTGAAAGTCCTGGATGAGGTCCACTGAAACCAGTGGCTGAATTTTGCATCGACCTCGCTAGGGCCAGGACTTCACCCAGCGTGTTTAACTCCAGGCGCTTATGTTTGAAGATGCGAGGAGAGATGTTTTAGGGCAGCAGTTTAAATGGAGAGTATCTCCTTCTCTGAGATGATGATAATAGTGTAGCTGTAACACGCTGTACGGACGTGGACTTCTCCACTCTCCGGGAGTAGCCAGGAGCTGCTGTTCTCATCGTGGCTGTAGTTAACACGTTGCAATATTGACTTTTTCACAAACAAAAGGCAGGCTTGAACACAACTTCGCAACCACCGACGCTTATTTTGATTAAATGTCAGTTTTGCTCTTTATTGTTCACAGCAGCTGCGTAGTGTCTTGTCCCAGATTCTGTCAAAGGAATATGTTCCACTGTGGTGTTGTATTTATATTTGACATTTAACTGCTATTAAAAAGAGCTAGGGGGTCTGAACACCCTAGGAAAGCTCCCATTAACTCAATGCTGTAGTTACCAGCCTAGAAATGGAGATATAGATAGACGGATACATATATATGTATATACATAATTTTTTTTTTAAAGAATTCTGTGGATACTTTCAAAGGAGTTTTTTAAACCTGTGAATTACAGAAACAATAGATAATTACATGGCCAGCTAATAAAGGGTAGCATAGGCATGTCTGGGCTTGCTTTTTTTAAAGCATCCAGCTGGGAATCTGTGTAATTTTAGAAACATGTTTTAATAGCCTGAGGATAACATCTCTTAGGTAACTACTTTAAGCCACTGTATTTTGTTGATGGTAGCACCTTTATAAGATAAATGTCCATGTTTCTTTTTGCTCAGCATTATTGAATTGTACAAATGTATCTATTCACCTTCTCAGCTTGTGTGTGAATTAGCAGCAACACTATTTTAATGTAAAAGTGAAAACATTTAATTAAAGCAACAAGTTATCACTAAAAGTAGCTTAAAAAAAGGTGTTACTGCCAGGCGGAGATTTTGACTACTTTTTTTTTTTTTTAAGATGGCACAGTACAAGAAAAATTGTTTATCAAATTTATTTAAAAGATGGGGAAAATGTAAAAACAAAAGCTGCAATAATGTCTGAGAAAGAGATTAATGTTTTTATTTAACATAATGTCAGGGTAGCAGGTTTTTATTTTGCTTTAAATGATTGATCTAAACTGTTGAAGCACTTTACAGTTCTGGCCTACTAACGCATTCTCAGTATCTGATGAAAATTATAGAAATACAAGGTTTGGAGAGTCTTTCAGGCTATTTTTTATTTTTTAATTCTAGGAGCTTATCTGTATGCCAAGGAGTGTTTTCCAAATGAAGATGTTTCTGAAAATAAATAGTTGTTTTCTAATAGTTCTGTTCTGTTATTTTCTTCATCACCCTGTTTAAAAATTCTGGCTGCTATAACAGAACTTTCTTCCCAGCTTCGACAGAAATTTGTTTTTTCTTTTGAATGTTGTTTGTGTAGCTTGTATTACTGGAATTTTTCTTATTAAACAGGAAGAAAAAGTATTCTGTGCTCTAGTATGTCTTCTTGTATCAGCTGTATGTAATTGCATATAAATGCTTTGAGACCTCTTGTTTAATTTGGAACATTAAATTTAACTTAAAATTTTAAATGTGAAAAAAATTATTTTTAATGTCTTTTGTGACTTCAGTGATTTAGTAATTTTTTTCAACACAGTGCCATATATTTTGATCAGTTAATCACTGGTATTTTGATTTTTATTTTTTTTTTTTTAGTTTTGAATAATGCTGATTATTTCCTGATAGTTTTTTAAACGTGCCAATATCTAGTTTATAATATCATCTAATTACCGTTGCTAATTTATATCTAACTGCAATAATTCTGCACTCAAAAGCTTCACTTTTATCTGTTGCTTAGAAGTTTATATTCTCATTTTTATGATGATTTCTTAAAAGCTTTTAAGTAATTAAATAAAACAAATCACTACTTTCTATCTTGTGTTTAAACCTGCCAGTAAAGTTTCCTTTATTTCAGTATCGGTATCCTAATCACTTTAATTTACCATGTGTAATTACTCTTGAACTATTTTTGTAATATGTGTTTATATATACTGTTGTCTTTGGGTTTGGTCGTGGTGGGTTTTGTAGAAAAGGTTAAGTGGTGAAAAAACTCCAGTTGTGTGCTATCAAAGTCGAGAATGTGTAACTTCGGAATATTGTAAACTGGTTATTAAGCAACGTGTTACTTAAAGAATCACCAAAATATACTTTTGAGAGAGGTAAGAAAGATAGTCTTTCAGCATGAAAAATTTCATTTAAATGGCACTGTAGTTTTATAAGCACTGAGAAAACTTACACTCTTACATGCCCCACCCTGCAACACAGACACAGAATTTTGCAAAGTGTTTTTTTTTCTTTGTTTTGACATGTGGTATATTGATCCTTTTCCCAGAGCAATATTTAAATTCTAAATATTTTTCGTAGTTATGGGCTTGGACGTTGCTCTGCTGCGGAACACAGGGTCCAGGTACGGAGGTGTAGGGTCGGTGCAGCCTCTCGGGCACCGCTGCGGGACGGGGCACGACCTTTTTACAACCTGGCAAAAATGGAAACCATCGTTTTCAGCATCGGGTCGCTTCGTTTCGTGAAAGAGCGAAACGCGCTAGGAAAGACGCGGTAATTCTCTTCGTCCGTGTTAAAAAAAAAAACAAAACAGCACCGTGTTCAATCGCTTCCTCGCCTTCTGGAATAAAAAACCCTTAACAACTCATTCACGCGACCTTTTAAAACAGCCATCAACCTCTCGCCTTTGGGCTTGAACCCCCGCGTTTTTAAATGGGCGAGACGGCCGTAGCCCACGCGTGTTTGCTCTGTCACGCA